ACAAAGCAGCTGCCCACGAGTGGTTCACGTTCTTTGCATCTCTTCATGAGTGTCTATTTAACGCAGATTCTCTAAAGTGTGTTCATATTACGTGGACAAAAATGGGTAACGTTGTGTGTTGACATTAAATAACTGTGCAGTTTCTTCTGTTCAGCTCTATTTACATTCTTAAAGCAGGGGTTATTTCGAGGTTATTGGTTGTTACGGAGGTTAGTTGACATGGTTATAGAATCTTTTGTAGAATCCTTGGTTACCATGGTATTCCTTCACTTTTAGAACTTTGCACCAAATATACAAATAGAACAGAGCCAGTGCTGCTACCTACATTTTTAATTTTCTTTTTTTAATTGTGCCATTTATACCAACAATGTTTCAGCCTGTTAGGACATTTAAGTCCATGGAAACAGCATGCTGTATTAAACAATGATCTATAAACATCAGATGTTTGTTTTTTACAGATGTTGCAGATCTGATGTAACATCTTCCTGCCACACACATTCTCTATGACCACATATCTGTGTGACACCTACTCAGCAGAATGCGTAAGATTGTATTAATGATCTCCAAGACGCACTAGGATTCTTTCACACATCGTTGAAGACAACAAAATTACATCAGCTGCCACTACCCCTTTTTTAAGACAGTCAACAGCGATATTCTGGTTCGTTACTAAATAAAGCAGTTGACGTTTCATTGTAAAGATGTGTAATGGGAATTACTACGTATCACCCATTAGCTGGTGTACTGTTTAATATTTATTATAAAGACCTATTTTATTGGATTCTTGGACTAGAATTGGGTTGGCCATTTTTTAGACTTTTCACACCCCGAATGGATCCAACACATGGTATATTCATTTAGCTAGAAAAAGTATCCGAATAAAGTATATATTACCTTGTATTTAATGACACACTTTGATCGATTATCAGCCACTTTGAGATGTTCCGACCACAAACATTTGGTTTTCAATTATTAAACTGAATTTAAGGCTGTAACAAAATCCCTGTTTGGACAGACTCAGGGAAACAGCATTTCGTAAGATATTCGTATGTTTGGCTATTTTGTGTTTGTAAAAGAGCCGAACAAACTCCCGAACCACCCAACCCCCCACCAGGGTCGTGTGCAGCTCATTAACCACCCAGACCTTGCAGTTAACCGCAAGTAATTGTTGAAAGGCTTGGTGGTCCGTGTTCATTTGCCGAACACGTGGTGGTCGCCATTTTCAAATCTTCGAACGCTCAGCGGTAGATGGTCCTCGACATCCTGGAACTGTTTTCGGACACTAATTTAGCTGCACACCGCTGAAGCGTACCAAGTTCCAGTCCTTTCGTCTAATAACTCACGAACACTCTACTGTTCGGGACTTTCCTACCATACGAACTTCGTGGGATCTGAGCGCTATTCGTCTATATTGTGCGCTCAGATCCAAGCTATCTGGGGGTATGTGGAACCTGGAGACTACGTTCGGTGAAATATAAGTTATGGATTTTAATACAGTTTTGTCAAAATGTAAAAAGGACATGTTTCTCTCTACGTGGAGATAATTAGGTTCTCTCCAACCACTTAAGTTAATTATCTCCAGGATAGAGAAGAGGGGTTGCACTGTTACCGTGGGTGTGTTTAATAATTGTACTGTAAACTGATTGGTTCTGTATTTTGTGTCACAGTTTTTCCACAAGGACATCCCTGTGGGAATTTCCTTGCTGGGAGACCATCATAAAAGGCTGAGTGTGGCCAGCATTAAAGCAGATCGTTTTACCCCTTCATGAAGTCTCAACTCATGTTTGGGGAATTGGGAGCTATAATCACTACTTCGCTATTATTCTGCTGGGATTTCGGGAGAAGCTGCAAGGATCGGTCCTACAGGGATAACAGGATCCTTTACACAGGCACCTTCCAAGATACTGGTATGGATATCAAGGGGGAGGGGGAGTACATATGTACCCACTCCTTCTGGGTATGTAGTGGGGGGCATATTAAAGGTACATTTAAAATTATCAAATCACGTGCAGGGAGAATAAAGTCACTGGACTCCTCAGTGCCGTTGCACAAGAAAACTCACAAATAGCCATTTTGGGAAGATGAATATACTATGTTTAATAATTGCTATGCAACAAAAAAATAATTTGAAATGTACAAAATGTAATTAAAAGGGACGCTATGGGCACCAAAACAACTTTAGCTTAATGAAGCTGTTTTTGGGAATAGATCCTGTTCCTGTAGTCTCATTGCTCAATTCTCTACTGATCAGGAGTTAATCACTTTGTTTCTGAGAGATCCAGAGATTGCAGAAAGCATTCAGCCTCCGATGTTTATGTCTGTGGCCTCTGCTCTCAATTAGTAAGGTCCCATTTATAAAGAAATCTTGTAGCTAATTAGTTACCACCAGGGGTCAAGTCCTGGGGAAAAAAGTGTGGGAACTCACCCAAGATTCCCGCCTCCCCCCCCTCCCCCCCTTAAAAAAAAAAACAAAATACACTCCTATGCATATAGTGCAGTGCAGGGTGTGTATAATGAATGTAGTGTGTTTGTAGTGAATGTAGAGTATGAATAATAAATGTAGTCTGTTTGTAGTGAGTGCAGTGTGAATAATAATTGTAGTGTATTTGTAGTGAGTGCAGAGTGTAGATAATGAATGCAGTGTTTTTTTAGTGAGTGCAGAGTGTGTATAATAAATGTAGTGTATTTGTAGTGAGTGCAGTGTGTATAATAAATGTAGTGTGTTTGTAGTGAGTGCAGTGTGTATAGTGAATGTAGTGTTTTTGTAGTGAGTGCAGATTGTGTATAATGAATGCAGAGTGTGTATAGTGAATGTAGTGTGTTTGTACTGAGTGCAGAGTGTGTATAATGAATGTAGTGTGTTTGTAGTAAGTGCAAATTGTGTATAATGAATTTAGTATGTTTGTAGTGAGTGCAGAGTGTGTACAATGAATGCAGTGTATGTAGTGTGTTTGTAGTGAATGCAGAGTGTGTATAGTGAATGTAGTGTGTAGTGAGTGCAGAATGTGTATAATGAATGCAGAGTGTGTATAGTGAATGCAGAGGGTGTATGGTGAATGTAGTGTGTTTGTAGTGAGTGTATAGTGAATGTAGTGTGCTTGTAGTGAGTGAAGAGTGTGTATAATGAATGCAGTGTGTGCGTGTGCTGGATGATGTGTGTGTGCGTGTGCTGGATGATGTGTGTGTGTGAGTGCTGGATGATGTGTGTGTGAGTGCTGGATGGTGTGTGTGTGAGTGCTGGATGATGTGTGTGTGTGTGCTGGATGATGTGTGTGTGAGTGCTGGATGATGTGTGTGTGTGTGCTGGATGATGTGTGTGTGTGTGTGCTGGATGATGTGTGTGTGTGTGTGCTGGATGATGTGTGTGTGGGTGCTGGATGGTGTGTGTGTGTGTGCTGGATGGTGTGTGTGTGTGTGCTGGATGGTGTGTGTGTGTGCTGGATGATGTGTGTGAGGTGCTGGATGGTGTGTGTGTGTGCGTGTGCTGGATGGTGTGTGGGTGCTGGATGGGTGTGTGAGTGATGGATGATGGGTGTGTGTGTGTGTGCTGGATGATGGGTATGTGAGTGATGAATGATGGGTATGTGAGTGATGGATGATGGATGTGTGTGTGCTGGATGATGGGTGTGTGTGTGCTGGATGATGGGTGTGTGAGTGCTGGATGATGGGTGTGTGTGTGCTGGATGATGGGTGTGTGTGTGCTGGATGATGTGTGTGAGAGTGCTGGATGATGTGTGTGAGAGTGCTGGATGATGGATGTGTGTGTGAGTGCTGGATGATGGGTGTGTGTGTGAGTGCTGGATGATGTGTGTGTGCTGGATGATGGGTGTGTGTGTGCTGGATGATGTGTGTGTGGGTGCTGGATGGTGGGTGTGTGAGGTGCTGGATGATGGGTGTGTGTGTGTGTGTCAGTGCTGGATGATGTGTCTAGATGTGGGTTGTGGTGTGGATCTGGGTGTGTGTGTGTGTGAGGTGTGCTGGATGATGGGTGTGTGTGTGTGTGTGTGTGAGTGCTGGATGATGGGTGTGTGTGTGTGTGTGTGAGGTGCTGGATGATGGGTGTGTGTGTGTGTGAGGTGCTGGATGATGGGTGGGTGTGTGTGTGTGTGAGTGCTGGATGATGGGTGTGTGTGTGTGTGTGAGTGCTGGATGATGGGTGGGTGTGTGTGTGAGTGCTGGATGATGGGTGTGTGTGTGTGTGTGCTGGATGATGGGTGTGTGTGTGTGTGTGTGCTGGATGATGGGTGTGTGAGTGCTGGATGATGGGTGTGTGAGTGCTGGATGATGTGTGGGGAAGCATTTTTTTACTTTATGTATAATTTTTATTTTATTCCCCCCTCCCTGCTTCTTACCTTGTCAGGGAGGGGGGAGATCGCCTGGTGGTCCGGTGGAGGGAACCAGCCGCTGCACACAGGGGCCATCACACGCTGTGTTCCCTCTCCAGCTCTAACTCTCGCGAGACTCTCCTGTGCGGAGCGTTGCCATGGTAACAGCCGTGGGTCTCGCGAGAGTTAGAGCTGGAGAGGGAACACAGCGTGTGATGGCCCCTCTGTGCAGGTAGCAGGGCCGGTCCTGCAGGACAGGTAACGGGAACGGCGTTCCTGCTTTGGAAAAAATGCAGGACTGCCGTTCCCATGTGTTCCTGCAGGACTCGAGCCCTGGTTACCACCTTTAGGGATGCACGCCACTGCATGTAGAGTGACAGAGATTATAAAATAAGTACTGAAAATGTTGCTCGAAAATAAAAGGAGTATGTCCTTTTACTGCAAATCTTTGAAGCCATTCTTAAAGCACAAAATGGCATCCTGTGATGATGGCGTTTTAGCCGCGAGGCAAACAAGGCAATTGCCTTGGGCGGCATTTTTCAGGGGGCGGCAAAAAACGCCGCCCCCAAATGCCCAGGGCAAATGCCTTGTTAGCCTTGCGGCTAACAGACATGCCGAGCGGGCGGGCGGCACTAGGCGGGCGGCTGGCGAGGGTGCTCTTCCTCTGAGCTGTCCGCTCAGCTCCCTCGCGCGCCGCAGAGTGAGGCTGGGAGCCGGGTTGATGACGTCATCTTCCGGCTCCCAGCCTCACTCTGCAGCGCGAGGGAGCTGAGCGGACAGCTCAGAGGAAGTGCTCCCTCGCCAGTGCCGCCCGCCCAGCGCCGCCCGCAGCCATTGGACCACCAGGGAGATAGAGACCCCCCCCCCAGCATTCCCTAAGGTAAGGAGGGGGGGGGGTAAATTAAAAAAAAATGTGTTAATGTGAGTGTGTGTGTGTGTTTGTTAGTGTGTCTGTTAATGTGTGTATGTTTGTTAGTGTGTGTGTGTGTGTGTGTCTGACTGTGTGAGTGTGTCTGCTAGTGTGTGTCTGCTAGTGAGTTAGTGTGTGTCTGTTAGTGTGTGTCTGACTGTGTGTGTCTGTTAGTGTGTATGTGTGTGTCTGACTGTGTGTGTGTCTGTCAGTGTGTGTGTGCCTGTTGTGTGTGTGTGTGTCTGACAGTTTGTGTCTGTTAGTGTGTATGTGTGTGTGTCTGACTGTGTGTATGTGTGTGTCTGACTGTGTGTGTGTGTGTGTGTGTGTCTGTTAGTGTGTGTGTGTGTCTGTTAGTGTATGTGTCTGATTGTGTGTCTGTTAGTGTGTGTGTGTCTATGTGTCTGTTAGTGTGTGTGTGTGTGTGTGTCTGTTAGTGTGTGTGTGTGTCTGACAGTTTGTGTCTGTTAGTGTGTGTGTCTGACTGTGTGTATGTGTGTGTCTGACTGTGTGTGTGTCTGTTAGTGTGTGTGTGTCTGTTAGTGTGTGTGTGTGTGTGTGTCAGTGTGTGTGTGTCTGTGTGTCTGTTAGTGTGTGTGTGTGTCTGTTAGTGTGTGTGTGTCTGTTAGAGTGAGTGTGTGTGTCTGTTAGTGAGTGTGTGTGTGTCTGTTAGTGAGTGTGTCTGTTAGTGAGTGTGTGTGTCTGTTAGCATGTGTATGCGTATCTGTCAGTGAATGTGTGTGTGTGTATTTAGAAGGCAGGGCGCGGGGAAGGGTTGGGTGGGGCTGGCGCGGGGGGGGGGGCATCTGAGTTTTGTCCTGCCTAGGGCAGCACAAAACCAGGATACACCACTGGATACAGACAGTTGGAAAGGCGATTCAATCCAAGTATTTTGCTTGTTTAGGTGGCATGCCATAACAAATAAATGTCTGATAAACTGGGGAAGTTCTCCCAGGTCAAGGAATCAGGTATGCCTCAAACTTTCTTGTTACTTTACCACACTCTATCATTAAGCTGTTTGGATATTTTTACTTAACTTGTGTGCTTAAGCCATATTCGAGTCTTGTTTAAAGCATATCCATTGAATGTCCTTCTCCTTAATATAGTTATTAATTATGTCTAATGTCTGCTGGTGTTATACCCACTTATAATAATATTAATAATAATTTGCGATTTTTATAGCGTTTTTCTCAAAGCAATTTACAAGTGTACAGACATAAAAGTTAGGAGTTTCTGAAGGTCAGATGAGCGGACTGAATGCCTGATGGAAGAGGTGGGTCTTTAGCTTTTTTAAAAAGTATGTAAGGACAATCTCTGATTGTGCACGGTAAAGAGTTCCAGAAGGTAGGGGCAGCGTGGCTGAATGCCCTGGAACCTGAGTCTGTCTTTATTCTTGGCACTGACAGGAGGGATTTGCTGGCTGACCAAAATGAATGGGATGGAATGTAGGAGCTCTTTCAGGTATTGTGGGCCTTGATTGTTTAAATGCTTTGGAGGTTAGCAGGCCAATTTTAAAATATGTTCGCCCTTTAATTGGACGCCAATGCAGGGAGTGGAGAACAGGTGTTATGTGGCAGGAGCGAGTTTGATTGGTCAGTAGTCTGGCTGCTGCATTTTGCACAGTCTGAAGGTGATGGTGTTCTTTTTCTGGGAGGCCCAAGTAAAGTACATTGCAGTAATCTAGAGAGGATTCAAATGCATGGATTAATGTTGGCATATCATCCGGCGGAATTAAGTGTTGTATCCTGGCTATGTTTTTCAGATAAAAGTAGACAGATTTTATTACGGAGGAAATCTGCTGTTTAAATGATAGTCCAGAGTCAATCAGCAATTTGAGGTTTTGCACCTTTGATGAACTAATGAGTTCAGAGCCTCCAAGCTCCAGGCCAGTTGGGTGATCATGGAATATTTTTGTTGCCCGGGGTCCCCTCACCAAGAGTAACTCTGTTTTGTCCGGATTCACTTTAAGCCAACTAGCATTCATCCATTCTATCAGGTCTGCTAAGCAACTGCTGATGTGGCATAACAATACTGGTAATAATAATACAGTTATCTGGAGCAAAGGAGAAGTAGGGTTGTGTGTCATCAGCGTAACAATGATACCTTAGGCCATGTCGCCTAAGGATGTCCCCCAGTGGCAGCAAGTAAATTGCAAATTTTATGTTTTATTATTATAACACTTATTTATGTTTTTATCTTCCTCAATACATAGAACCCACGGTGTTCTCTACGTAGGCAACCTTTCAGCTATTGGCAAAATCTTTGCTCTAACTTCATGAAGATGACCTAGATGGCAAAAGAACTTGTGATATAGCTTTTTAGCATTAAGAACCAAAAGTGCTTGAAGGGAACATGATGCTCTAGACAAGAAGACTACGGTGAAATTAAATATTTTTATTACTGGCAAATGTATTTTGGGTAATTGTATACCACTTAGTCTTAATTTAGAAGTTTGCTCATTTCGTTTGAAATATTGAAGGAATATCATACAAAATTGACATTTCTATTATAAATAGTAGCCATTAATGTAAATTATCGCAATGTTGTTTTTGTTTTTTTTGTCAAGCTTTCTCTAACATTGCTTGTGCTTTAAAAGGAATTAATTACTTTTATGAGAAGGAAACATAAAAATAGAGCAACTTTAGAGATACATTAATCCACTTTTTGGTACTTTTAAAAGTATCTGTCTTTACTCTAAAGCTGTGGTTCTCCAACTAGTGATCTCAGCGTTACAAATATCTCATTTTTTAGCAAACTGAGCTTGTGTTGCTTCCTGAGGACTTTTTCTTTAGAACCAATGGTCTAAAGAAGGATTATCGCACTCTAGTCATCTGATGGAGGATTTGTATCATATTCTTCCCCAATGATGAATGGATCCAGTTCTCTAAAGTTGGATGACTAAGTAAGCTTCAGCTCTCCAGGGCAGCATCATCAAACCTCAACACTTGAAAGCCAAATTATTAAATCTCCAGTCCTTCAGTGCAGGTTTGTTGAACTTCAGTCCTGTAACCCAAGATTATCTAACATCTCAATAGGGTTCAAGGAGGTGGGCAAGACATGAAGTTATTAGGGAAGGACCCACCCAAGACAAGAACGAGCCTACCTTAAAAGGTGGAATATAAGCCTGGTAAGAATGTAAACAGCCTGTCTGTTCCAGATCACAG